ACTGATGTTCTTAACATTTCATTTCATTTCATTCATTTTCCACTAACTAGTGGGAGGGTGTCTCTCCTCCAACATCTTAGTTCCTAACATTCCTGGGTGGGTGGGGGAGGCGGAGGGGAGGTGGAGGGGAGGTGGTGGAAGTCTCTCTTCTTGTGTGGGCGCTCGTCTCGTGATGATCTGATTGCAATGGCTTTGAGTAGTACTTTGACGTTCTTTCCAAGTTGGCGCGTGCGTTCGGTGTTGCAACACGATCTTTGTCGTCATACTGCGAGGATCTGGTACCTGGATGTCCACCACCACCACCACCCCACCCAGCACACGACCAACAACGGCAAACCTTTCCATCAACCAAAGCTTCTACCGCATTTCCAGGTTCCCGCTCATAAGTCTCTTCACTAATCGGCAAGACTTTTCCACATGTCGAAAGGATTCTCATGTCTCGGCCCGCTGTTATGAGGTCGTTGTGATGTCATCAGGGTCCACCACTCTTTCATCATCATCGATGAGGTCTGTGGTCTGAAGCTAGCACTTGTGATACAAAAGGTTTATAATGCCCCTCCTGAAGTTACCCCTCCATTGCATATACACACACTTTCGACTTCTTTGATACCCAAATTCCACGTTTTCACCGATACACACTTCAAAACACCGAGCTACGCATACGAGATATATTTGAGAAGATGTCTGCCGAATACAAGAACACCGACGTCAACGAGATCGCCAAGAAGGCTGAGCAGGACCTCAACAGCCAGAGCGCTGTTCATGGGCATAATGCTGGTTTGAGCAGTACGTTTATCCTCTCCCTTCCCCATATCATCACCCCCAACCTCCTTCCTCCTCCCTCCCCCATCCATCCATCCCAAACCCCTACTAACCTCCCCCCCTCCAGCAACGGAATCCGGCGTCGACACCGCCAACGTCGAAGGCAAATTCCCCGGCGCCCAAGTAAAATACGGCTCCGCCGCCTCTGGCGCAGGCAACAACCGCGAGATCCCGCTCGACGAGGGAGGTTCTATCAAGGCCAACGGCCAGCCTACCAAGGCGGGTGACTTTGCGCACGGTGGTGTGGGTGCGCCCGAGGAGAGGGATCAGACGTATGTGCACACGCATGGTGGGGATGATGAGATTAGGGGGAATGTTAGGAACTAAGATGATGGTGGGGGAGAGGGAGGCAAGAGCCTCCCGTTGATGAGTAATTAAAGTTCAAGTCTCACCTTTGTGGGAATGTGGATGTTGTTGCGCAGTGTGATACCGCTTCGTCATTGCCCCACGTCTGTCGACTAACTTTTCGCATTGCTTTCGCCTTTCTTCTATGTTCATCTACTTGTTGTCATTCACTCCCTCGCTCGGCTTATTCAACATGCGTCTCAGATTCTCGGTTTCTTTAGTCAGCATTTATTTCGTTCAATTATTAATGTCACGTTGTTGCATGAACCTTTTCATGTTAAGGTATGTATTATCTCGAACCAGCTGTTTACATCTTCCTTTTCTATTCAAATCCTGAATACGTTAAAGACTACAGTAGCAAGAAAGTATTAGTATGGAAGTTCATAAAGGACTTTGACGCCTACATCCACGAAAGTGCTTTTTAGATGTACGTACTCTATTAGCATGTGTGAAGCAGAAGGTATCTAGGAACTGTTTTGTATGATGTCTGGTTGTCATGTAGTCATTGTAGTACTCTCAACCGCGACCATCTATCTAGTCTCTGCCTAATGTAGCCCTCTCCATGGCCTGTGTTAGGAAGTCCTTGTCGACATCCTTCATGATCTTCAGGGCCTGTTCTACACTGATCCACGACCGCCTAACCTCATCAGGCAAAGCCTGCTCAACTACTCCCGGCTCGATGTCAACCAGAAGATCACTGACTGGACTCACATCCATTCGAACCGGCTTGGTATCGACGAAGAATCCGACAGGCCTATCCATATGCTCAATCTCCATCGCCTCCTCCGCCGCCGCCTCCTCGTCCTTCTGCTTCTGCTCCTTCCTCATCTTCGCAAAGACCCAGTGCAGAACCAACAGCGGACCCTCCTTCTCGAATGCGTCGCGTGGTACTTCGCCCGATAGGACCGCCGCGTAGAAGTGATCAGGCTGGATGGTGACCAGCTCAGAGACCATTTGCTGCATATAATAGATCGCCTGGATCATGTCGCGCCTAGCTTTATCCGGGAAGTAGCATAGGTCGAAACTGCTGTTCATCCAGACCTTGACGAGTTCCTCTTGGCAGGAATGCACGTGGTCGTGTCTGTCCATGCCGCATGTCTTGGATAACCATGCCTCCATGTAGGCTTCGATGAAGACTTCTGCGCCGGGTTCGTGGAAGCTGCTCGTGTCGAGGCCGAGCTGCTTGGCGATCATGATGAACGCCATGAGGACGACATTGTGGCGCACGACGTCGAGGCGGTTGGATAGAGAGTGTAGTTTGGATACGTCATAGTACCATATGGCGCGGTTGATGTCGAGGGACTTAGAGGAGTGAGCGCGGTAGTTGCCTCGGGCAATGTCGTTGAAGTTGCGGAGATAGTAGTCTAGTTGCAGGCGCTGGGGGACGCTGGGGATCCATACGTTGTTCTCGTAGATGTCGTAAATGCCGATAGGTTGCGCAAATAGTGAATCATGAAATTTCGCGAGCTTCTGGTCGAAGTGATCGCGCGCTTTGGCGTCCAGAGCGGCGAAGTCGTTGGTGTTGGGGGAGTGGGAGCTCGCCATGGTCGATGTAGAGGAGTTGCAGGAGGGAGATGCGAAGTTGACGAGGGAGATAGGAAGTTGATGAGAGGAGAGAGCAGTAGAGGTAGTGAGCAGGTTTTAAATAGCAAGCTTGCGGAGGTGAGCGCGAGTTGACCGTATCTTGCGGTCGAGACGCGGAGAGCAAAAAGTGGGGCTGAGGTGAGAGAGCAAACGACTCCTCGCAAGGACGCGCACACTCACCTCTAATATGCAAAAAAGATAAAACCGCTTAGTTGTACAGGTAAATATCTGTCCTTCGTGCATACAAGCATAGTAAAAGAATGATTAATAAAGGCAAAAAAAAGTAAACTTTCCAGATCAGGCTGTACCCAAGAGGCCAATCATCTACCTGTAAGATCGTCCATTAGTTGGACTCACTCACAAACTAGACTGGCATTTAACAGCTATCAGAGGTCAGAGGACGGAATCGAACCGAAGTACAAGGCAAATCACTCCCGAGGAAGGGCTCACCAGACCATTGAGGACGGAGGGCGATAGAATCGATGGGAATTAACTCAAGATTGTGATATTTATACCTAGAGATTTGCGCTTCTATCACTTCTGAAGGCATAAGAATAAGAGATAGATATGGTGGTGGAGATGTGGCTCTTGGAGGTGAGTGCAGGGCGCGAAGTGAAGGTGGGAAAGTGAGAGACCAGAAAACTCAGGTTGGAGAGAAGTAAGAACAACACCGCCATGGGCATGCCCACGCATGTACATTCAGCAGGCTTTGTTCGCAAAAGAAGTGGTTCCTTTGTTATCTTACCACAAACACAGTTCTCGCGCGCTAAAGGGGGCGGTGGGCATTGCATAGGGTCGTCCGCTTGGAAAGCCTCGCAGTTTTCTGATAAAGCAGTTAGTATGAGTGAACGCGTCCTGAACTCTAGGTCCGCCGACAGGTAGTACAGCGAGGGCTTCATGGGTAGTATGATGGAAGGCTCGACGGAGAGGGCTGTATCCTGTTAGCCTTCGTTCGTAAGTAACATCAGAGGCCGAGCAGTAGACAAGACCGATTATCGAAGAACTGCATGTTGGATATCTCGTCTCTACCATTTAAAAGAGATATTCCGCTTCTTTTTGTCGCTACGGCTCGTTTACAACTTCGTTAGGAGCCCTTGGGTACTTTGATTGTAGTCATAAGCTTCCGGGTGATATACGGGATTGGGCTCAGATGTGTTGTGCGGTTGCCTTGGGAGTTCTTCCATTTCATCATTGAGGCGCGCGTAGATGGGCCTGGTGATTGAGGCGCGAAAGCAGACGATGTAAGCGATCCTGTTGAATACACGGTGCACGACTATCACGATTAGGACTGTCGATACCACGTTACAAATCTCCCTCCAACTCCAAAGAAGGAGGATTGGGCAGCGCCCTGATACAATGCATGCAGAACCACTGCACAGTTGGAAAGTATTGCAGGGGACTTCCGCTTCGATCAACATACTCGTCTTTGGGCACGTGCTACGGGTTGGGCATATCGAAGGTCGAACAAGCTCTCGAATATTGAGATTGGGCGTATCCATCGTATTCCGCGTTGCCATTGCGCGGATCTGCATCGTCATGCCCATCACTGTGATACCTATCCATCAGGGCGCAGTACTACCGGCAGAATGCTTTATGCGTCGCTTTGCGCAAAAGTCGTACGATGAGGACGGCGGGGACTCCAGACTCGGAAGGCAAGATGCAGTTTTGCGCGCCCAGTGCTCGTTGGCTGTCGTCATCGAGGTTGTTGTGCTACACCATGCGTGACGATCGGAGATGTTCACAAGCAGTAGTAGCCGCTATGATGTAAGCTATGATGTCTCGTATGAAGTCTCAAGTATTGAGCAGAGAAGAATCATGAGGGGTTGGAAGTTTCCCAAGCCACTTTGCAAGGCTACATAGGTAGGTACGCTCGGCGCTCACGAAGAAAAGGCAAGAGCGCTGGAAATATCGTGTTTGATCTCTTGGGCACATCACTTCACATGCTCTTCGAAGCATGCATAACCGCCGCCATAGCAAAGAGCGGTGTAGACAACCCCGGCATCTATATTTTCGTTTCAATATATAGAGGCATGATGTTGCTGCTGTACTACATGCGCTAGCCGATGTACCCACGACCTCCTCCGCGGCAACATCATCAACGACCAAGAATGCCCTCGAGGTCGGCAGTATAAGAACACGTTCTCGCACCCAGATAGAGAAGTCATCGCAATCATCAAACGGTACAACACATACATCATCAATCTTTGCAAAACCAACTACTTCAAGCTTCCATCACCTCACTTCCCACCATGTCGGGTAACAACAACAACTCCGGCAACACCGGCGGTGGCACCAAGGACTCTACTCCAATGACTCAGGGCGATGCGAGCAGGATCCAGTCTGGTCAAGTAAGCATTCCCATCATGTCTCGCTGAACCACACTCTTCTTCCGACGCTAACATATCTCTCTTTGATTAGGCCAAGAGCGGCGGCGACATGTCCTCTGGTGGTTTCGCGGCTCGCGCTCAGGGCGCTGGCGATCGCAATGCCAATGCCGGTGGCCAACAGAGCGGCGGCACCAAGAAGTGAGATGTCATTCGAGGCAAACTCTAGGAGCGACTCAAGACGGAAGGGAAGGACTTTCATTGAGGGAGGGCTTACTGTATGCATTCAGAATATCTACGCGTCAGCTTTGATCTGGACTAGATAGAAAACAATGTGAATGCATTCATGCAATAACCTGACGAGCCGTTAATCGCGTTACAAACTACGATGGCAAGATGACTTTGATTTGCAGGCTCAAAAAGAAGCTTGACGTCTACGTTAACGCTGGGTCTTTTAACATGTGAATGATTCATTGCTATATAGTCCTCAAAGTGCGTTTATCCGCGACCGACCGCCTGACCTCTACCTAATGTAGCCTTGTCCATGCATCATATACACCCCATCGCAGCCTTCCGACCACGACTTCCTCCCCTACCATCCACAACCTAAATGTACTGAACAGTAACCTGCGAACCGCTGTTGATAGTAACATCAGTGTAAACAGTGCTACCCTGCTTAAGATCAATAATAGTAGCACCACTCAACCCATCCGTTCCACCCGTGCTCAGACTAGCACTCGCCTGGGTGAAGACAACAGTACCAAAGTTGCTCAGCGCAACCAAGCTACCTCCGGACTCAAAGTCCTCTACAATCCACTCTGCGTTCTGACGGCACAGGACGGAGCCACTGGGTGCGCTAAGCGTCTGGCTGACCTTCTTTCCCGTGCTCACGTTGGTAAGCGAGACTGTGCCCTTGGTGGTGGAGGTAGCGACAATGTCGACTTGGATGACGTTGCCGGCCTTGACGGCGAAGTTGCTGAAGTCGTAGGCGTAGTCGGGGTACCACTCGTACCAGGCGTCGTAGGAGACAGCGCCGGAGCTGCTGACGGTGAAATCGATACCTGCTTGGAGCAGACCGCTGCCGCAGGTATCGCCGTCGATACCAACCCAAGCTGAGGAAGACTCGGTTCCGCCAGAGCCAACGTGCTTGGGTGTAGGTACGGTGAAACGTCCGGTGGCTGACTTGAAGTAGCCGGAGGAGGGTGTCTCGAGGACGGCACCGGACCAATTGGATGAGTAGTCGACGTGGGCGGTGGTGTTGTCGACGTCTGCGACGAACTTGGCGTTCTCTTTCGCGGCTGTGCCGACTAGAATCATGGGCTGGGTCCTGTGACGGCGACTGCCATCAGCACGGGATTGAACGCGCTCAGCGAGGGAGGATGGACGGGCCAGAACGGAGCCAGTGATGGCGGCGATGACAGCGATGGAAAGCTTCATGTTGTGTGATGGGACGAAGTTGAAGAACTGAGAATGGAGTCGAAGCGAGAGAAGAGGTGGAGAGTAGAACGATAGACTGCTGAAGCGAATGCTGCGTTGATGAGTGCGGTGTTACCAGCGCTGCTAGACACCCTTTATATACTTCCCAACTCGAGCTCGTACTTCATGTCGTATACCTCTAGGCACACTCATTATACGATGGCGCGATGGTCCAGATCCAACACTTGATGATACCTTCCTAATACCCACTGGTCAGGCGCATAGCTATCCAGCTGGACTCGCTCTCCATGCTGGACTGGAAAGCGGCTCACGAGATCCATCAGTTCGAACGCCGAGATACGAATTACTGATTGGTAGCCCAGGTCGTTTGGTGAAGGCCTCTTCACCAAGAGATCGGCGAATTACCGGACTGGACAGGGGTATGAGTGGACAGTCCCGCTCGTGTGTTGACTCGGTAGGTATCAGAAGACCCTGATAAGTGATTTTCCTGGTGTACGGGACGAAGTCCGCCTATCATATCACTGTCACTTCCACCACATGTGCGTGAAAGTGTCCGACTTCGTGGTTGTCGTGCTTGCATCGTCAGGTTCTCCTGCCTCTTTGGGATAACGCCCGAACGCTCTCTTGCAGATTCGACAGCGAAAGCGAAAGAGCTGGTGGGACATGCGGTGCTCGACCGTATTGCTCGATCTTTGAAGGTGCCGCATGCTCTTCGTAACGTAGTAGATCTAATCTCCCTGCGTTCGTCATGATTTCCGTCACCTTTACTGTGCGATGGCATTTCTCACTGTACCTCGGCTCTCGACCACATCGAATTTCGAAATCGCTACTGTCCAAAGACCCTATGCAACGACGGAAAGCTCCCATAGCGTAAATATGCAGGATAAATTAACTGCAGCAGAAGCTTGTCGTTGCTTATCAGTTGGCGTGTGACTTGGCAAGGATTGGTGTGGTGGTGCTAGTACGGGATAGGAAGTTCGTGATAGGTGGTGCCCGGCGTGCACACCTGAAGGGTAGTAAGCTTTCCATCTGCCAAGTTAGCTTGCGAAAGCTTGTTCGCGGCGAAATGCTTGAGTTGAGAAGGTGTGATGGGTGGTGTTGAAGGATGGTTCGAAATAAACAGGAGGAAGGCCCGATCGGAAAGACCCGTGGGCATTGCGCCATTGGGTTCGGCTGGGCCTCGGCATTCGGAGCCAGTTGCACGAACAGCCGGACTGCGACATCGTTGCAACGCCATTAACAACAGAGTTCTCGAGATGACTATGGGGACGACATCCCAGAATGCAGTGGAGGACGAGGAGAGTCTGTGTCGCATTACTGCATACATCGTTGTTGTACGCCAACAATGGAAACGTGTAGAAAGCAATGTATACTTCAACTTAGGATGTGACATGTACTTTCTGGACTCTGAGGCTCTTGTCGGCGTCTACGGGAAACTTGACTCAGCTGTGTCGCATCAAAATGCCATGGCTGCGAGCGTGCGGCGTAGCAATTGCGGCGTCAGCACCCTCAGGAACGCTGCCTGATCCTCAGCTGCACTTTGCTGAATACCTACCTGGGTATCAACACATCCAGAATCTCTTTAGACACAAGCCTCCCGTGTTCGAATATGTCAGCCTCACCAGACGCACGCGTCCGAATGACTTCGAGTTCGAGGACTGCATGTACGGTTTGTTCATACCCATCCCATGGCGGCATCATCATGAAGAGGTTTACAAACCCTGAGCTGGAGTGCCTTGGCCTCTCGCGCAAGATGTCAGATCCAGGAGCATTCTCCGACCAAGAGCAAGAAGATGCGTTCGCGCTGCGTATGCTCCACCTGGGCGCGCGCTGGTGGCCATCCCTCAAGTTCTACGACCGCCACACAAGAGACGAACCATATCCTTACGGTTACCACTTCCCATCCGAACTGCATGTCGCGTATACTTCCACCAATTCTGGCATCTGGGTCCTGTCGGTATGGGCCGAAAACTCACAAACATGGTTGGAAGAATACGATCCGCCCCGAAAGCCCGAAGACTGGGTGGACTTGGCGTATTGCAGAACCATGGAGGAGCGATGTACGATCTTAGAAGATTTTGGCGCGACGTTTTATGAGGATGTCGAGCAGTGTGATAAGCTGCCGTGGAGTTTGGATGAGGGTGTTAGGGAAGGCAAGAGATATGAGGAGTTGCTGCGGAAGATGGAGGACGATGAATATTTCGAGGATTGGATGAATGGTCTGTGATTGACTGATGTTAGTGAAGGCAAGAGTAGATCATTTGCTTTAAAAGACGGAGGGAGAAACATCGACTTCTTCTAGGCTTCTAGGGCAGGATGTCTCCCATCCCTCGCTGTTAACATTCATAGCATCACTCAGGGACATGAAGAGATAAACGGCTTGTTAGATATGATCTGAATGCATTTACATTGTTCTGTTAACCCGCAACGTCTGCCATAGCTACGACAAAAGTATATCGAGATAATACATGTCGCTGCTAATTTAGCATAGCCATGACCTGAGCAAACCGCTTCTACGCGCTCAACATTCCGCTCTGATCTCCATCGTTCTCCACACACCTTGCTCTTTTCTCAAGCCTAACCCTGCTCCGCCGCCTTGCGCATACGCTTCTCATGCTTCTTGTGCCTCTTCTTTGTCCTCTTCGCGTACTTCTCCAAAGTCGCAATACGGTTCTTCGCCCAGTTGGGACCGGCGTCGGGAGGCGGAGCTGTAGAAGAGCAATACAGTTAGCCAATGCATCGCATGGATAAAGAACAAGGCAGCAAGTGGACTCCTTACTTCCAAGGTCTCCTCTAAGCAGACGTTCCTTCTCGTCCTCTCGACGCTCATGTTTCCGCTCGAAGCGTTGGTGACGGTGTCCGGACGATTCCGTGCGACAGCTCTGGGTGCGCTTCGGGTTTCGCGGTTTGGGGTCGTGCGGGTTCTGCGAGGGCATCTTGGTGGGGTGCGAGTATTTTCCCTTGTGTTGGTCAGGCATGCAGCTTGTTATGAAGCTTGTCTCTCTGATCTATACCTTGCCCGGGTACCAGTACGGGTCGTTCTCTTTGGTGTAGTCCTTAGTCAAGTCGCGTCTGATGCTCCTCGCGCTGTCCTCTCGATCGTCATGCTCGTCATCTCCAGTTAAGGGGCTGCATTCACGTTCTCTGCTGTCGTCGCGACCGCGTATCGGTCCATCGTCTCGATCACCCCCAGGACTGCGTGGACGATGCTCCCACTCATAGCTTGGCTCACGTTTGAAGCTATCTCTTGAGCGATTGCGTGAACGATCATCAGATCCGCGCCTCGAATCGCGTCTATCATCACCATCCAGACGGTGGCGTGAACGGTCATCGCGACCACGGCTGCGGTCCCGGCTGCGATCATCGTTCCGGCGGTCGCGTGAACGGTCATCGCGATCACGGCTGCGCTCGCGCCTGCGATCATCGACCCGGCAGTCGCGTGATTGATCATGTCGGTCACGACTAAGCTCGCGTCTGCGTTCATCTCCCCAGCGGTTGCTTGGACGGTCGTCTCGCTCCCGGCTTGGTTCGCGTTTGATGTCGTCGCCCCAGCGGTTGCGAGGACGTTCCTGACGCTCACGGCTGGGCTCACGTCTACTATGATAGCTATCATAACCGTGGTAGGTCTGTGGGTAGCTGTCGACGCGTCCCTGTGGTTCGTAGCTCGGCTCGCGTTTGACGCGATTGTCGATGGGATCCTGGAAGTCCGACATCGCGCCGCGGGATGGAGTAGTCAATGCGAAGAGAGTGTAATGAGAACGAGAAAGGAAAAGCGAGAGGACGGATTGAAGTGACGGAAGAGAGACCGGACGCGGTTTGAGGAAGCGACAAAAGAAATGACTCGTCGTTGCGAACTTGAAGCCCCGCTGTGACAATCAAGGAGGAACGACGGCAGTATACGGAAGGGAGCAGCGGGCCCGCAATGGCCTAACGACGCGTCCCGCGTTGGGCGCGTATGCTGACACTTTATCAACACTTACGCGCAATCCAATGTGAACACGGTCGAGATACCTCAGTCTTCGCGATGAAGACGCCACATGATGACTTATCTCAGGCGCAGGAGAAGAAAGTAGCCGTACCCATGACGTCACCACGCTAGTTCGCATCCATCTCGACAGGCACGGCCGAACACGAAGGTGACAAAGCTGCAAAACTGTTGCCTCCGATTACCACATAATTCCACAACAGCCGCCACAGTATCGTATATACACACATCGAACACAATGCATCTCCTAACACCAAGCTGCACTACCGCAGCAACTATACACTTACAATCGAAATTCTCACCGCGGACCAAAGATTGAGACGCAACTAATAGGGCCACAACCATCTCTACAAAATCGCGATATGGACAGCGTATACACAGTCCGCGCCTCCCCAGGCGAAGGACTAGGCTGTTTCGCTTCCACGACCATCCAGCCGGGTACGCTCATCCTTAGCGAAACACCCTTATTCAGCGTCGCCGAACCGCGCAGCAACAGCGCCGTAGTCTCAGCTTTTGCTTCATTGGACGACTCGCAAAAAACCCAGTATCTCTCCCTGTACGCGCAGAAAACCTACAAATTGAAAGAGGATGGAGAAGAAGAAGAAGAAGAAGAAGAGGCAAAGATAATCGACATCTTCAACTCCAACGCCTGGCAAACCGGATCAAAAACATCCATCTGCCCCCTCGCCGCGCGCTTCAACCACAGCTGCATCCCCAACGCATCCTTCGCATTCAACCCGCTCACTGGAAAAATCACAATCCACGCCATCGTGCCCATCCCTTCAAATTCCCAAATACGATTAAGCTACGAGCGACCCTACCAAACCACCCTCTCGCGGCGCGCAAAACTCTCTTCCTACGGATTTACCTGCGCCTGTCCGGCATGCAGCGACCCCACGCCCAGCAGCGATACCCGGCGCGCGCGAATGGTGGTGCTGGACGCGCGGATCCGGACGGGGCGGCGCCAGCTGTGGAGACGGCCTGTGCCGAAGGCCGCGTTGGAGTTGTGCAGGTTGCTGAAAGAGGAGGGGTTGGTGGGGGAGGCGTTGGGGCTTGCGTGGCATGATGCGGCGGTGGGGTGGAGGAGGCATGGGAGGTTGGATGAGGCGGTGGCTTGTGCGGTGAAGGAGTTGGAAATCGCGGTGACGTGTTTTGGTAGGGAGAGCTTGGCGGTGGATGTTTCGACGGGGTTCTTGTTGGGGCTGAAGGGGGAGATGGGGATGAAGGCGAAGACGGGTGTTGCTGTGGAGGCTGAAGAGGTTGTGGGTTGCTAGAGGGGGCGTCTTGGTATGTGGTCGAGGTGTTCTGGTTTGGTGTTGAAGCATGCTCTGGGCATGCCGATTCTTCCATGCCACATCTCACTTCCTTGATTTGTGGCGCAGTGACGATATGTACAATGTGCCACACTCACAATCAAGCTTCCATCTATAGCAAACAATGGTCCACCACTTCACATATTCCCTCTTAACGTATTTCCTCCTCGCAAACACATCGTTTCTACCCTCCTAACCTGCACCACTACCTACCCTCTAAACCAACAATCCAACCAACAGCAACTCCAGCATGACCAAAACCCCCCAAACTTCCCGCACTCTCTCAAAAAACGATTCCATCGTCCGCCTCAAAAGCATCGTCCAGCCACTCACAAAATACCTGTCTGCTCCTAATAAAAGTCTACCCCAGTATACCGAACGCCGGAAAAGTTCCACCATGCCGCACATGACCGAATGGCTATGTCCATACTGCTCACATATCAACCGTGGGGAAGGTGGTAGTGGGGAGAAATGCGGGGGGTGTGGGAAGTGATGATAATGATGGATGAGACGGATGAGACGGATGAGACGGAGGGAACTGTCTGCGGTTGGGGATATGAGATACCAAAGGAGAGAAAGGAGAGAGACGAGAAAGACGAGAAGTGGTTAGAGTGTGGGTATCAGGATAGGAGATTCTAGTAGACGAGAGGACTGATGAGGGGACAATGTCGTGTTTTGTTTCCGCGAGACACAAGAGACCGCGCAAGTAAAATGGCACATTGTCTTGCCAGAACCGTATATGATGATATACCGACTTTCCCAAACTCCATCGCTATGCAACAATGAATCATCAGACGTATTTCTGAATCCATCGAGTCGTTGTTGCGAGCAACAACGGTGCATGGGACTTTTTTTGGTACCCGAATTGTAAATGCTCGCAACAACGACTGAATCATCAAACGTGACCTTCTCTTTTCCTCTCTCACAAATATCTCATCTTCGCCTACCTGACCCGAAGCCGCTTTCCAGCAGGTTCAACACCGCCCTCTTCCCTCGCCGAACTATGCGCTTCAGAACCAGTCCAAACCTGACTCTTCACAGTCGTGGGGACAGTCGTACCGTTTCCTGCTTCACTCCCCTCATTCTTTCCCTCCACCTTCGCCTCAGCCGTCGGCCCAACCTTCCTTGGCCCCTCAATAGAAAAGGAAAACACCTCCCTCTCGGGCCTCCTCGACTTCCCCGTCGCCGGTTTTCTAACAGCATTGACATCCTCCTCCTTGAACAGCTGCCCCGTCCTCTTCGTCGCTTCCTTACCCGCCTCGGTCGCTTCTTCCACTATCTCCTCGCTGTAGTGCCACATCAGCGCGATTTCACCCCTTACAAGCGCAGTCGCCCAGAGACTGAGCAGCACGCCTGGAACGAGCCAGAGAAGAGCAGGTTGCGCGTGGTTCATGAGATGCAGCGCGGCGAACGTGGCGACCAGACCGCCTACATAGCCCACGAGCGAAGCATTGAAATACGTTTTCGGGAACGTGAACGGTGCTTCCTCTTTCCCGTTTTCTGAGGGTGCGGCAGAAGACCACAGCGGGCGTCCCATGAGTGAATGCGTCCAGAAATGGTCGCTCCAGCGGCCTGCCAGGGGTGTAAACTCCGCCTTCACAACCGTGTCCTCGGCTCCTTCAGTTGTTGCGGGGACGCGTTTCTGGCGGCGGAGGTAGAAGAGGTAGAGATCGAAGCGCAGTGCAAGGCCTATCATGAGTCCAGGGATGATGATATCGCCTAGACCGAGCATGGCAGCGGCGTTCTTGCCCGAGGGCGTGGTGGCGGTGCCGGGTTTGGGGAACATGAGTTTGATGGGGACGTCGAGGGAGGATGCTACTGTTACCATGAGAGGACTGGAAGAAGAGGTGGTGTTAGCAGTGTTTCTGTGCGAACAGGTGAATGAAGGAGGAGAGTACGTACGTGAAGAAGACCATGTAGATGTCATAGAAGAACAACCCCACGAGTATCGCACTTCCAGTCGCAAACGTCGTCGGACTGATGACTTGGATACTGCCATATGCGAAACTGAAACCAAGCAGGTTGGTCAGGTACCACGTCTTGTCCACGAGGTTGAAGTAGACGAGCGTAGCCAGCGCTACCACAGCACCGACAAGCGTGTGCGCGCCTACTCTAGCTTTGCCCGCAAGCGCGCGCTCAAGATACAGCTTCAGCGTCCACTTATTGGAGGGCATCGCGCGGTCCGCCCAGAGCCATTCTTTCGCTCCATCGGAAAGTGGTATGCGCGCGAGAAAGCCGGGGAGCGGGCTTGTAATGGGCCCGCTGGCCTTGGTGTTGCCTGCGACAGGCACCGCCCTCCCTGCCTTGCCGTCGACATGGTACAGCGCGCCCCCGAGCACATGTCTCCTTGGGAATATAATCGAATGCCCAATATCCAGCACATCACTAACCAACTTCGTCACAGCGAAGAACCCAAAGACAGCGAAATACGCATTAAGCGCTTTACTCAATATACTCGGGTCCTTGAGCCACTTCAGCAAAAAATACAGCGTCGCCAGCGAAATCCCCGCGAAAAGCGGGAACAAGATGATATGTCTCGGCGAAAGCCCTTCCATCTCGTTCTCTGGCTCCTCCTCTTCCTCGTCTTCGGAGTCGCTGTCTTCATCTTCGGTAGCGGCGGCGCGTGCGCGGTCTTTCCGGTTTTTCTTTGGGGGCTTCGCGGCGGTGGAGGGGCGGGTGAGCGAGGCGTGGGCGGCGGCGTAGATGGGGAAGAGGGAGGCGAGGATCATGTGGGCGTAGACGGGGAGGAGGGGTTGCACTTTTGTGAAGGCGTAGGCGGCGGTGCCGAGGGCGCTGGCGACGAGGCTGGGCTCGGTGTCTGCCATGGTGGGCGGACGTGTGGGTGTGTGTTACGCGCAGGTGGACGTGGCTGGCGGGGATTTATAGAGTGATGTGGGAGAGTGAGAGTGGTGGTGGGTGGGGAGGGCTGGTGAACGAACCCAAGGTTACAAGCTCTCTACCCACAACGTGGCCTATATGCACCCAACCACAAAGACTTCGAACGTCAATGAGTGTGGAAGCAACCAGAGTACATTCCACATCCCTCCACAAAGACGCTTCTATCGCGCATGCAGACATCGACGCGTAAAGTTGTCCTGCAAAGCGGCACAGTCGCGTCCTTTGCAAACAAATTCGGCATGCAAACCAATCAAACATGACGTCGCCGCATCGCGTCCAGCCAAACACCCTGATCGGCGTTCGTGCATGGCCAGACCAGCGACGGCCCAGACCCAGACCCAGACCAGCGCCGTCGATAGATCTAGATCTCGGCCTGCACGAGCGGGACCTTGCATGTTGCCCCCCTTCCTTCTCTGTCTTCCGCGCTCGAGCGTGGAAGAAGGAAGATCACCTCGTCTTAGAAGCTGTCGTCTTGCAAGCTGCCAGACTTCCACCACCGCCCCTCCGCCTCCCCACCAACCCATCCTTGCATCCTTGCATGTTCTTCCCCCTTCCTTCACCGCTCTAAATCCTACTAAATCAATTTGATTATCCGTGCGACTGCCGTGTCTCATGATTCAGATGCCTTTTTGACCTGACCCGGGTACTCGGTATGGCAACTTTTCTTCTTGTATACGCTCGGCTCGTGAGGATATAGCAGCTTTGGTGGGTTAATATTAGCATCACTTAGAGCAAGAAAGGTGTGGAGAAAAGCATAGAGTAGATGCGCAAGTGTGTGTTTGTATTGCTACCGAGTGTGTGTATTGTTGTGTTGCAGATGTATGCTGTGTGTTCTTCTGTTTCCTTCTCAAGCTAAACTATGCCCGAAATCCACTGCTACCAGTCTTTCATACTTGCATTCTGGTCCTGCCTGCTCAACGACTCTGGAACGCAACAATCTCTCCAGAACCTCCCGTCCATCCCCTTAGATTAAAGAATGAATGGAATTCGTGTGTCGCGTATACACTCGTGATGTGCTGGAAAGACGCCCCACAAGAAAAAAAAAAGATAAGTTCATGTAGAGAAGAAGGAAAAAAAGAAGCAAGAGCGCCGAATGTGCTAAATCGAGAGAGAAGCCGAAACACCCCACTTGTGCAAACAAAGGAAAAAAGCTTAGCAGTCTGTGATAAAATGCTTGTGTGAAACGCCCGAGAGACAACCGAATTACAAGAGGGATATTTTGCGTGCAAAAGACAGGGAAGAAGCAAGGTAAAAAAAGGAAGAGGCCGTTGGGTGTGGTTAGACCGGCTGAACCACAGCTTTTGGGCAACAACAACACCCCCGAACGCGCACGCTAGTAAGACAGGGAGATAGGAAAAAGAGTTGTAGTGATGGGCTCAGCAAGGTGTGAGCCTGCTGGAGACGTTCAGGTCGCGGAGCATGTCAAAGGACATGCCGTCGACGTTGACGCGCTGCTGTGACTCAACGTACACGTCGTGCACGTTGGAGAAGGCGTTGCCCTCCCAAGGCGACACAGCAGTAAGCCTCTTGTTGTGTGGGTGTGGTGGTGTGACTGCCGCGATGACAGCCTGCTTCATCTGCGGGGTGATGGCTAGGCGCTTGCAGTCAAAGTACGAGGACGACGACACCGAAGACGACGTATACGAAGGTGCTGACGTCGAAGTGAGCTGAGGCTGCGAGGGGCAAGACGACGAGGGGTAGTCGGCGACGTCCTCGTCATCATCGTGTTCTTCCTCAGGCGAGGAGCGTGGTAGTGCTGACGGGTCAGGAAACTTGAAGGCTTTAGCCGTAGTGGGCTCTGACTCTTCCTCTAGCGGCGTCGACGAAAATAGAAACGACGAATTGTGGTGCGAGGTCTCGTAGTAGCCTAGGATGGACGGCGTGAAGTTGCTTCCCTTGGAGTTGGGGCCTTGTTCACTGGAAAAGGTATACTCCGGGAGGGGAAGCGCCTCGTCATCCGTGTCGTCGTCGGTGGAGCTCCAGGCAGAGAATTGACTCTTCATCGGCGGTCGCACTGGGGGTATCTCGATGGCCTTTGGTCCATCGGTCTGGCGGCGTGCATTTGGGTTTGGCGACGTCGGCACTCGAGGAAACGATAGATCCGGACACGATCGGGGAGAGAGGGATGAGGTGGGGCGATGGTTGGATTGGTACGTCGGTATTGACTTGAGTTGGTTCTTGATGAAAGCGGCAAGGTTAGCGGAATAGTCGCCTAGCGTGGGTGACATATTCCGAGGTTCGCCATCGTTTACATGTGCGACCACGGTCGAGGTGCTGTTATCCGTGGCATCGGATGGCATGCGAGAGTGAGACCATTTTGCGTCAAAGGGAGATTCTTGATCTCGAGGGGTGGGTAGGGCGGCGAGGCCTTCGAGAAACTTGAGGTGGTCCTGGGGGTTGAAGAGACGGTTGACTTCGTCGTCGACGGACTGGTTGCGTCGAGCTCGGCGTTTCCGGACGGCGGCTCTGCCCTCAGCAAGAATAAGGAGTGCTTCTGGGGTTGAGCAACCCAGAGCCTCAACAATGGGAAACGAGTTACTTCTTTGTCTCTGCATGCTGTGTCGGGGGCTCGCCCTGCGAGGGGATGGCGAAGAGTGGTGGGAGTCCATGGTGTATATTAGTCCGGATAGAGCGGGAGAGGTGCTAGTTCATGGCCGCAGAGCCGCGGAGTGAGTCGATGCTGGGAGCGAGGAGTCCTAAATACACAGTGCAGGTTGAGGGCAGACGTCCAGGGGGTGTTGTGACAGTGCTGGTCCACGGAGCAAAAGGAAAAGAGAGTTGCCGCGTGTAAAACGGATGGCAAGGCTACTTTGAAGCCAGAAAAACGGTCGACGGATCAGGTCAGGATGGCATTAGTGGCCCATCTCGCTTCCCAGGCCCCAGGCAGCCCTAGCCCGACAAGAAAATGCTCTCCTATGGGCCCAAGCGGAAAAGTACGAGTTGGCAGGCAGGCGTACGGGCACATGACGTTTACAGCCCTCGACCAGCGACATGGGTGGGTCTTGCACGGCCTTGGAAAAGCGCACACTCAGGATGAACGATGCTGCACCCCTGGATGGCGTGCACCCATCTGCCGGATCCCGCTGGCGTTTCGCAGCGCTGCCCAATGGGGGCCGAGAGGGCGTGCGGCCTGTCATGCGCCGTCTGCTACCGTCGTGGCAAAGCACCGGAATCTCCGTTTTGCCATGGAGGGTTCGCGTTGGAGCGCCTGATGGTGAGAAAGCTCGCAGCCTGTCAGCGGTGGTGGAGGGCCTGCGCAGACGTGCCGCGACAGCCTGCGTGAACCATCGTACCCACATCAAACGAGGCCTGTTGCGTGAGGTCGTGGTGATCATGATCGACGCTACCCTTGCTTTTTTCCCTCGCTGTGCTGTTTCTCCAAGGCCTGATCAGCCCTGCCACTGATGCGTTTGGCCCGACGATCTGTCTCTGACTGGCCGCAGCTAAGATAAAAGTGCGATCGATCAGCACTGGCCGCGCAAGCGAAACTCTGCTGTACATGTAAACGGCGGTTCACGTACCCTCGCGTCGTCGTGATGTAGGAATTACACCTCACCTGCGCTGCATACACGGGCGCACTCGTAATTGTCCGAGGTGGGTGAATGTGCGCCGTGCTAGAGCAGGTACGCCGAAAAAAGAATAACCGGCCCGACTCGAGCAGACGCGACACTGGTCCGAGGCTGAGCAACGCGTTCGCATCACGAAACCCGCGATAGAGTTGGATTTCCAGGGTCCTGAAGAGTCATACCCTCCGTGCCGATGCCATTTGGTCGGATATCCGGTGCCGTGTGGGATTCGATAGGTCCGACTGTGGCTGCAATACCGTAATCACTGGCGGCCTCCCTCCGATAGCCTCAGCTGTCAGACTGAAACTGTCGCACCGACAATTTACTTTGTACTGCACTCTGCGACTCACTGGTAACCTCGTGAACTCTCAAGTCACCCCTCATTTGCTTTTCTCGTCGCCTTGTAAGGCTTCGGCTGCGCCCTGGTGCTCATCTTACCCCCGTCCAAGCGTCGCTTCCTGGCCATGTCGGGCTGTTTCCGCATGCAGCTTTGGTCGCCCGGGCATCAACACCGCATCTTTTTTTTCACGATTGACATCATCACCGCGCTCATGAGTTGTGCGCATGCAGCAGCCTGATCAGCACGGTGCGCTGGGTTTGCCCGAACAACTCCTCTGACATGCGAAACCACGACGCCCCGGGCCACCGTCCGAGCCTCGCCGCCGTCGCTACCAAAAGGGCTGCCTGCCCAACGGCGGCGCCTTCCCGGATTGCTTCACTTTCTCGCTGGCACCTTCTTGCATGTCTGTGTCTCCAGTTGTTTCACCACCCTCGACGGCAGTAGCCCCGCAGGAGGCATGCCATTGTGCGACAATCCCATCTTCGATCCCCCACCACCTCTCACCACCTCACCATCTACTGCGACACCTACCCGCCCATCTAACTTTGCATCCTCACCCCATCTCACGTAATGCGTTCGACCGCATCCTAGGGCACCATCACCACACCCCCCGCCGGTCCTTTTTCCTAGAGTCGGCACGATCCGACCAACCCATGCTATTCGGCAATTATATCGCGGGCCTTGTCATTCTCTCGGTGCTACCTCTGCTTTTTATCCTGGCGCGCTTCTACTCAAAGCGCACGCGACTACTGCCATGGACTATTGATGATACGTTTTTGGTGTTGGCCCTGGTATGGTCTGACCCCTTTACAGAAGGCACTCTCTAACCACGTCGGGTAGCTCCTTCTCTACGTGGTGATGGCCATGTTTATTGTTTGCGAGTCGCTCACGTCTGCGATTCATACTGCGTTGCTAATGCGACGAAGCGATGGCTGCTAGTCTTGTCCGTCAACACATGGTGACAGCTGCCACGGCGGATCTCAAGCGAACGCTGATAGTATGACATTCTTGCTGTGGATAA